CTTCTGGGAGTTAAAATTCACACTTCTTAAAGCACGCTGGCTGGGGAATTCTGGGAGTTGAAGTCCACATACCTCAAAGCATGCTGGCTGAAGAATCCTGCTCTAGATGAAAATTTCTTTTTTCTTTTTCTTTTTTCTTTTTGTATAAGAATGATAAATGTTAAAACACCTGTAACCAAACGACATGCTCTATGTGATGATGGTTTTTTTTCTTTTTTGTGTTTTTTTCTCTCTTTTTCTTTTTTGTTTTTGTTTTTCCATTGTTGTGTGTATATGTTGTCTATGTAATAAAAAAAAAATATTATTAAAAAAAATAGATGAAAATTTCTGAATGTGATATAAAGGTAGCCCTGCAGATGAATTTATTGCTCAATAGTACTAACTGTGAGAGGGATCTTGGAGTCCTAGTGGACAACCATTAAATATGAGCCAGCCGTGTGCAGCAGCTGTCAAGAAAGCCGACACAGTTCTAGGCTGCATAAACAGAGGGATAGAATCAAGATCACGTGAAGTGTTAATACCACTTTATAATGCCTTGGCAAGGCCACACTTGGAATACTGCATCCAGTTTTGGTTGTCACGATGTAGAAAAGATGTGGAGACTCTAGAAAGAGTGCAGAGAAGAGCAACAAAGATGATGAGGGAACTGGAGACTAAAACAGAGGCTATGCAGAGCGGTTGCAAGAATTGGATATGTCTAGTTTGATGAAAAGAAGGACTAGGGGAGACATGATAGCAGTGTTCAAATATCTCAGGGGTTGCCACAAAGAAGAGGGAGTCAAACTATTCTCCAAGGCTCCTGAGGGTAGAACAAGAAGCAATGGGTGGAAACTAATCAAGGAGAGAAGCAACCTAGAACCAAGGAGAAATTTCCTGACAATTACAATTAATCAGTGGAACAACTTGCCTCCAGAAGTTGTGAATGCTCCAACACTGGAAGTTTTTAAGAAGATGTTGAATATCCATTTGTCTGAAGTGGTGTAGGGTTTCTTGCCTGAGTAGGGAT